AATTCCCTTTAAAACAAAACAAAAAAACATTCAATCTGGGAACTAAATCCGATAACTTTTTATTCTTGCTTGGGGATGGATTGGATATTTGTGTATGCAAAGGCAATAATAAGTCGAAGTCTTATTGCAGGCAAAACTTCATCAACTGTAATGGAATTAGCAATACATTGTGTGGAAAGAAAATGTTTACACCAAGAAGGATTGTCATTTCTCAGATGCTTTAAACCCAATGGTTTAAGTGTTTTGGTTTTCAACTATTAACATGTTCATAAACCATAACCACAACGCCTTACAAATGATAAAATTAATTAAATATCATAAAAAATTCTAAAAAGTGCTTAAGTGACGTTTATTTTACATATTTTTTATATTATGAGATGAATTATTTTTATTTTGAATATATTTATTTTATTTGAACAAAAAAGTAGAGTAAGAATTAGTAATGTAAATAGAATAAAACTTGACTCAATTTAGTGGATATTACTTTTATTAATTCAAATAAGATTCTATTTTTATTAAGTACTAAATTGTATTTCATGGATAAATAAAATAAACAATGATATTAATTTCATAACCAATTTTATTATATCAGTAGATACAATGATTGGTTTATTATTAATAAAACTAATTACCATATTTAATTCAATTATCATTTATTCAGAATTTTTGATGTAAGGTTCAAGATGTTGCTGAAGCTTCTTGAGCATATCTTCATCAAATCCTAAATTCACAAATGCTTTCATTTTTTCAAGATACTTCCCTGTCTCTTTTTTAACGATTTCGACTTCAACAAGACCACTTCTATTTACTGTTGTTTTGTCAATTATTTTAAATTCTCCTGCTTTTAATCCAGGTGGAAGTCCTTCTATTGTTACTTTTGTAACAAGTTCCATTCCTTCTTCATTTGTTTTCTGACCTTCTCCTTTATAAATAGTGTCAACAATATCACTCTGATTATCAAATGCATTAAAATACTCTCCCTCAAAAGTAATTGGTAATTTTCTTCCTTTAGGTGCAAAAATACTAAACCCATTATTAACCATTCCAAATCCAAGTGTATATGGCATTACTTGTGTTATATCATCTTCTTTATTTATTGATATTTGATATGCTCTATAAGAGGCTCCTTTCACAACACTTAGATATCCATCAGAACCAAATCCAATAATTTTCTTCTCTCCAAACATATCACAAATTGTTTTTTTAACAAGTGGAATACAACACGAACCACCTATTGGTAAAACATAATCTACATCACTTACATTCCAACGTGCACCTTTCATCACATTTTCTATACATCTTTTAATTCTGTCAATAAGCCTATCTTTCTTGCATTGTTCTTCAAATTCTTCTCTTGTGACTTCTATGGAGTCATTAAGTTCATTACAAATTGAATATAAATCAATTGGAGAATAACTTGAATTGCCAGAAAATGATTTTTTGACATCTTCAGCAATATTTCTTATTTGTTTCATTGCTTGTAATTTCATTTTCTTAGTTTTTTTTGTATCAGAATTCTTTACAACAAAGAGTTTGTTGAATGTACTATCACCAATATGCTGTTTGATTTTATCAAGAATGATTTTAATAAGAGAATCATCAAAATTATTTCCACCAAGATTAAGATCACTTTCATTACATATACATTCTGTTTTTATTTCATTTAGAGCATTTGGTTCTTGTTGTTTTCTAAAGTCTTTTAGTTTTAATGTTATTTCATTATTCCAATTTGGATTTATTTCAGATGTATTAAATGTAAATGGTTTGTCTTGGTTTAATTTTCCAGAAGCAGATCTTGTTAATTTGTCAATACTCAAATAAACATCTCTTTTTAATTGTCGTGTGCTTGGCAGTTCATACCATTTTGTTGGCTCAAATAAATATAATTCACCTGGCTTTGTTTGTAGAGTTTCTTTTACTTTATCTAAAATACTATTTCTGATTTCTTCATCGTCTAGTTTTTCATACGTTGGCATTCCATCTCCATTTGTAATGCAACAGGCAACATCTGTTGTTCCTCCACCACAGTCAATTACAATAATTTTAGATTTATCTTTCACATGATGTTCTCTTTGATATTCCAAGATTGAAGCAAATGGTTCTTCTAATGAAGTAATATCTTCAAATCCTGCCATTTTACAAGCTTGAATTGTTTCTTTCTTTTGTCTTGGTGTAAAAGAAACAGGGACAGTAATAACTACTTTTCCTATTTTTCTATTTCCAATTCTTTTAATAAGTATATTATACAATGTTCTAAGAACCATTGCTGATACTTCGATTGGATAAAAACTTTCTTGTTTTGATAAATCAAGAGGGTCATCAACACACATCTTTATTTCATTATTGTCGGTTGAAACTTCAAATGATGTAAAAGTTGGTAATAAATTCTTTTGTTCATTATAATGTTCAACTGTTTCTCCTATTAATCTTTTAGAGTCATGAAGACAAATACCACCATTTTTCTTTGCAATAAGACCAACATTGTACTTTTTTAATCCATCACCTCCTTTAAATATTTCAACCCATGATGGTATTGAAAATTCATTATTTGATATTTGTAGTACTTCGACTGGGTTTGTCTCATTTTCAGAATAAATAGCTATAGATGAATATGTTGTTCCTAAATCTATTCCAATATGAATAGGTACTTCTGTTAATTCTTGTAAACTCATAATGAATCATAGAGATAATCAGTTCTTTAAAAATTGGTAACAAACATCATTTAATCTATTATAAAAATTCAAGATCTTTCATTTATTACAATAATACTAATTAAATTAAAAACAAATAAAGCATTATTTGTTATTCTTTATTTTATAAAATCTCAAACAAAAAAAAGAAATTTTACCAAAATGAGAAGTAAATTAAAACGCTTAGAAGCATTTTCTGTGGACAATAGCTGGTCCGGATTCATCATATTCTTCCTTGGTAATCCACATGTTTTGGAATGTAGAAAGTGAGGCAAGAATTGATCCTCCAATCCAGACTGAGTATTTTCTTTCTGGTGGGGCAATAACCTTAATCTTCATTGTTGGTGGTGCTAATTGAATCATTTCCTTTTCAAGTCTGGTGTTAATACCTGGATACATTGATGTTCCTCCTGAAAGAACAATATTTCCATAAAGATCCTTTCTGATATCGACATCACATTTCATAATTGAATTGTAGGTAGTTTCATGAATACCATTGCATTCCATACCAAGGAATGATGGTTGGAAGAGAGCTTCTGGGCATCTGAATCTTTCATTTCCAACAGTAATAACTTGTCCATCTGGAAGTTCATAGCTCTTTTCAAGTTCACTGCTTGATGCAGCTTTTTGCATTTCTTCATTGAAATCTTCAGCAACATAGCAAAGTTTTTCTTTAATATCTCTGACAATTTCTCTTTCAGCAGTAGTGGTGAATGCATATCCTCTTTCAGTTAAGATTTTCATGAGATAATCAGTAAGATCACGTCCTGCAAGATCAAGTCTGAGAATAGCATGTGGAAGTGAGAATCCTTCATAAATTGGGACGGTGTGTGAAACTCCATCACCTGAATCCATAACAATACCAGTAGTTCTACCTGAGGCATATAATGAAAGAACAGCTTGAATTCCAACATACATAGCTGGGGTGTTGAATGTTTCAAACATAATTTGAGTCATCTTTTCTCTGTTAGCTTTTGGATTCATTGGGGCTTCAGTTAAAAGAACTGGATGTTCTTCTGGTGCAACTCTAAGTTCATTATAGAAAGTATGATGCCAGATCTTTTCCATATCGTCCCAATTGTTAACAATACCGTGTTCAATTGGATATTTAAGTGTAAGAATACCCCTCTTTGATTGAGCTTCATCTCCAACATAAGCATCCTTTTGACCCATACCAGCCATAACTGAAACGTGTCTTGGTCTACCAACAATGGATGGGAATACAGCTCTTGGTGCATCATCACCAGCAAATCCGGCTTTACACATTCCTGATCCATTATCTACAACAAGTGCTTGAACTTCTTCGTCTCCCATATTAATTGAATGTTTAGTTTAGTTTATTATGATCTTTAAATACCTGTCTTTTGGAGTTCACTCGTTATTAAACTCCAAAGTTCTCACTTTTTTTATATTTTTCACCTCCTTTTTATTTCTTTTTTTAGTTCATTTTAATTTCTTAGCTAATTTTCTTGTAAATGATAGTATTATTTTATCGAATAATTCATTCTATCCTTAATTTTGATTTATAAGTTCTTTTTTTATTTTATTTTTCTAACCCAAAAATTTGAATAACACAATATCCTTATTGAAAAATAAACCTATACCTCAACATAAAAAAAACAATTATTTAATGACTATTAGAAAGTCCAAAACATTTTTACAATTCTTTCATTGATTAAACAAAAAAAACCTTAGTAAAATAAATATTTATTTCATTATATGAGATAATATACTGCTTTTTTTAACTTATACACTTGTTATCTATTTACAAGACATAACATAATATAAACCAAATTAGTTTCTTTTTAAACAAGGTAATAGAAATAAAAAGTTTTATAAACTTCTTTCTATAAGTTGTGTGTTAATTAATAAAGAGAATGTTACTCACAGTAATTACCTAAAAGAATTAAATGTTTATTAGTATATTGACTTAAATAGTTTTGTGATATTCTGCTATTTTGTGATTATGATAATCACTTTTTCCATTATGTCTTTTCTTGAAAAATAATAATCACCACTTTTATTTCCTGTTATAAGTCATTAACCGAGAATAAACAAGATAATTATCAATTAAGAAGAATATAATAGAATAAGGGAGTTTCTTGTTTTCAAATGGTTTTCAAATGGTTTTCACTCAAATTTTTATTGAGATACAACATAAAAGAATATTATATCTTCTCTTCTTTTTTGTTTTTTTTTTCTTCGTATTTTTTAACAAAGTAATTTATAAACAGAAAAATACTTTGAATCTTACTTAACAAACTTTTTGACCCTTATTTGAACTAGATTTTGTGAAGAATCTCTAATTAAATGCTTAAGAACCAACTTACACCAACACTATGCCAAAGACAAGGAAATAGGGCTCCTGAATGCTTTAAAAGAGTAAGAGATTTAGAAACAAAACAAGAATGCTTTCTTATTGGTTTGCTTCAATTAAAGTATAATATTATTTGTGAACGACCATATAAATTTAAGATAAAATCATTACCTTTCTTTAAAGTAAAGACTCTTTATAATGTTTATGAGTCTATTGATGTTCAAAAATTAACTAACGAAAGAGTAAAATCATTGGTTGATAAAGATAGAGCTGATAATGTAGATGAAAAAACAATTAGAAGAAGAACAGAAGTTTACAGAATTTCTGAACATCTTCATGTTTTAATGGATATCCTTATAAGCAATGGTACAAATATAAAAACAAAAGAAAATAGACATACAACAATGGCTGACAGAAGAAATTTATATTCAATAAATTACGAAGGAATCAATTTTTCTAAAAAAGAAATTGTTGAAAAAGGAGGTTCAATTCATAGTTTGATAAGTGAAGAATTTACTAAAAAAAGACCAAATTCGACTAGTTTATTACCATTATGTGATACAGAAATTATGTCTTTATTATTAAATTAATTTAAATAGTTTTTTCCTTATTTATCTATTTTTTTGTTTTGTTTTAGTGTTTGTTTACAAATATCTCTTTGAAACCTTTAAATCCATTATTGTTGTTTTTAACTTTATTATGTTAATATTTATTGTTTACCTAGTTTTATTCTGACTACATTTTTGTCTTTGGTTATAGAATGTATTAATCATTAGTTCAAGGATGATAATGATAATTGTTTATGATGATAAAATATCATTTATTATTATATAAGAATGAATATTTATCAAAATGGTAGTGTGGTATTATTTAATTTTTATGATGCAAAATATACTTGTCAATTAATGTTTGGAGTTGAAAATATTAAATATTATCAAAGGAAAAGGTGTTTTGCTTGTTATGGTTAATGCTAGAACAAATTTAGACATAATACTATAATGTCAGGGATGTTTTCTTTTATCATGAAATAAAAAATAAAAGAACCAAGACTTTTAATATTCATTCAAATTCAAATAAAAATGAGACAATTACTTATTTGAATAACATTGTATTTGAATATATATGAAAAGAATTTATTTCATTATGAATAAAGAATAAAAATATACACTTCTCAACAAGATGAAAACCTATATAATATATGAAAAGTGGTTGAATACTCTTTCTTATTGAAAATATTTATTGAATAATCTCTTTGAGCATGTAACAATAGAAAATAATTATATTAACAATTACTTATCTTCTTTTTATAATAATACTCATAATTTACTCAATACTCTTTTCCTTATTTTATTAATTCTTTTTTTAAAATTTTTACCACTCAATATATTTTTAGTATTTTACTTTGATATCTGTTACCATAAAGAAACCGTTTATCAATTGTTTTTTTTAAAAAAAAAGAAAATTGGAAGTATCATAATTTTGATTAGAATTTATTTATTCTTTTTCTTAAAAAAAATTAGATGTTTTAATTTGTTTTCAATTTTAGAATAGTAAGAAAGAATATATCTGTCTATAATTTATTATATTCTTATCTGTTTAAACAATTAAAATGTTATAATAAGTCAAAGTACTAATTTAAATTATGATTCTTGATAAATTCTATGTTAATAAAAAAGAAGAAAGATACATTTAATAATTATTTTTGAACAATATTGAAATGGTTTCAAAATAAACCTGAGAAGAAATACAATTCTTTCAAATGAATGTATTATTAATAATTTTGATTAAAATGTAATAAATAAATTGGTTTTTATTTTTTGAATAAAATCTATTAAACAAGATGTTTCAAATTGTTATATTTGATGTGAACCAAAAAATAGTTATTGTGTTGATAATAGATACTTGTTTTTATTAACATTTAACAACTTTAATACTCTTTAATACTACCAGAAGAAAATTTATATTCTCAATCCATTACATCATTTTTTGTATTTTTTAGATAATTATTATAATTTAAATTATACATAGCAAATATTAAAACAATAATAAACAAATACAATAAAAGTAAATAAAAACTAAAGAAATAATATATTAAAACTGTTATATCATAAAAAATTAATGAATTTTACTACTATATCAATATAAAAAGAGATATATTATAATGATATGTTTGATTGTATGTTTTATTGACAGATTAAAGAACATATTATAAAAATAATTTACAACTTTATTATTCAATTCAATTAAGAAATATTATACATGTTTGTTTTATTTAATATGGATTTAAACTCTTCTTGTTAAAATTATTTACTTGAAATTTATTAACACTTATGCTTTATTTTGTTTTACTTTGAAATTACTAAATAAATATTTTTATTGAAATAGTTAATATATAAATAACTACGTGATATTAATGTAAATAATTATAAAATAACAACTTTATTCTTCATTAATTCTCAGTATATATCTTTTATTAAAATTATTATAAATATATTATAAATAGATAAAAACAATTCATATACAAAAATTATTATATGATTTAATATATTTAAAAATATATTAACTAAAGACACATTATGATATAACGTTCTTATTTCTTTTATTGAAGAAATAAATTGTTTAATTTTACTTATAGAATCAATTTCTTAAACAATATACTTTTACATAATCTTATTCTACTTGATTTATTATTTATTAAAACTGTTTAAAGTATTATTATAAATTGAAAAGAAACCAAGCCATTGTATTATCATAACAATAATAGCTATTATTTTACAATTTTTTTTTTAAAATGCAATACAATTAATTTATCTTTATTAGTTTCTTCTTTTTCTATGGCTATAGTCTTTTTCTATAAATTAATAGTAGTATGTTTAGTTATATACTTTTAAATTCATAAATACTTTAAAAGATTAACAACAAAAACAAATATTTTTGAAATTAGAGATTAAAATATTAAAATATTTTGGTATTATGAATTAAAACTTCTTAATTTAAATCAGTTAAGAAAATAATATTTGAAGTATTAAATAGAAAGGATATAGAGAATAAACAAATGATTATATTTATAATACTAATTAATTAAGTGTTAATAAAATTTGTTTCTAATGTTCCTAGCTCAAGTGAGACTAATCCTGTCCCTTTGACTATAAAATGATTATATTTATAGAATATAAAAAAAGAATTTACGAAATAAAATTTTAAAATAAGAATAAAAAGATAATAAAACAATAATCTAAAAAATTTAACAGAAACTTGTATTGCTTAAATCACTAAAAAAAGAAGATTAAAATAAAAGATACGATAACCTAATTTAATAAAAACATTAAGTCAATACTATAACATTCAAAAATTAAATAAATGAATTGAATTAAATAAAACAATAATATAAAAAGTGTTTTATAATAAACAATGAGCTAAATAAATACATTCAAATTTTAATTTAACAATATTTGAGAATATTATTTATTTCTTTCTAATTTCAAATATCTTATTATCTTTTTGTTTATGTTATTCTATTTTCTCTTTTTAATTATTCATTAAATCTATACTAATATAATAGTATATTATAATTAATAGTTCATCTCAAGTATCTGTTGATATTTTATTTTTTGACTTGTTTCTTACTTAATCATTATTTAAAAAAAAGAAAAGAACTAAAGAAACCAAAAAGTATTCTGCACATGGAAGCACCCAAAGAAAATGAAGTTACACCAATTGTTGAAAAGAAACCCATTGAAAAGAAATCTGTAGAAAAGAAACCAAAGAAAGTAACTGAGAAGAAAGTAAAATCACGTGATGATGAAGGAAGAAAAAATACTCTTTCTAAGAAATCAGGTTTACAATTCCCAGTTGCTCGTATTCATGCTGCTCTTAAAAAAGGAAGATATGGGGAACATATTAATAAAATGGCATCAGTTTATTTAACAGCTGTTATTGAATATCTTGTTGCAGAAGTTTTAGAACTTGCAGGTGGACAAGCAAAAGATTTCCATAAAACAAGAATTACTCCAAGACATATTCAACTTGCAGTTCGATCAGATCTTGAATTAAACGATCTTCTTAAAGATGTTACTATTTCTTATGGTGGAGTATTCCCTAATGTTCCTACTGCCGTTAATTCAAAAGGAAAGAAAAAACCAGCATCATCACAAGTTGTTTAAACTTCAATTTATTGTTTACAATTTTATTATTTTAATATTTATATTATAAAAAGAATAAAAGAATGAAATAAATTATAATTAAAATAAAGAAACATTTCATTTTATTCTTTATTAATTAGAATAAAAGAAAGATGATTAAATATGACAACCAACTAGATCGTGGCAAAAACTAGACAAATAATTTATGAAAACCCTATAAAAACCCTAAAATTAAATAATTAAATAAAATGACAACAGAACAACCAAAACAACCAGAAATTATTACACTTTCAGCTGATAAATCACAAGTTACTGAGGTTCAAAGTCTTTGTGTAAATTGTTATAAACAAGGAACAACACGATTAATGTTAACAGAAATCCCTTATTTTAGAGATATTCTTCTTGCACATTTTCAATGTCCATATTGTCATTACGAAAATACAGAAGTTGAACAAACATCACCAATTCAAGACCATGGAATGAAGTTTACTCTTAAAGTAGAAAATATCAAAGACCTTTCAAGACAAATAGTTAAGTCTGATCATTGTTCAATTAATTTTCCATCAATTGGATTTGAAATTCCATCAACAGCTCAATCAAGTAGTTTAAATACATTAGAAGGATTTATTGAAAATTCAATTGAAGCAATGAATTCAATTCTTGTTCAACTTATTCCAACAGGAGATGATTATAAAAAAATTAGTTCAGTTGTAGAGTCATTAAATAAAATGAAAAGAGTAGAAGAACCATATATAGTAGAAATTGATGATCCTTCAGGAAATTCTTTTGTTCAAAATCTTTGTGTACCAAAAGAAGATCCACAAATTAATACTCTTGTTTATATTAGAAACTTTGAACAAAATAAAGCTATTGGTTTAATTGCTGAAAACCAAACTGAAATTACACCTGCAGATATTGATTATGATGATAAAACTTCACGTCAACTTGTTCCTGAACATAAAAATGCTGCTGCTACAAGAACTGGATTACCTGATGCTATTGACCAATCTACTATCCCATCATCAAATAATGATATAGCAGAATTAGACGAAGTGTGTCAATCATGTGGACATATGGCAAAAGTAAGAATGTTAATTACTCAAATTCCTTATTTCAAAGAGGTAACTATTATGGCATTTTCTTGTGATACTTGTGGATATAGATCAAATGAAGTAAAGTGTGGTGGTCCAGTTTCACCTAAAGCAAAAAAATTAACCTTTAAACCAAAAGACATTGATGATCTTTCAAGAAGTTTCTTAAAATCTGATACTGCTTCAGTTTCAATTCCTGAAATTGGAATTGAATTACAACCAGGGACATTAGGAAGTAAATTTACTACTGTAGAAGGTTTTATTAAAGACTTAGCTGATAACTTTGAAAATATGCCATTTTTACATGGGGATTCAGCTGAAAAAGATCAAGAAGATAAAGTTGATGCTCTCATTGAC